GGAAACTAGAAAAATGCTTGTTTTTTGGCCCCAAATTTTCTTAACGTTTAGGGCAATTACCCCCAAACTCAATTCCCGCTTTCCCTTTGTGATATGGAACCTTGTAGTACAATTTCATAAAGATCCATACACTTACACACAAGTTATTGTCCTGAAACTAGAAAAAAACGCTTGTTTTTTGCCCCTATTTTTGCCCCTAATTCCTAAAATTTTGAATGTGGTCTAAGAACTTAAAAAATTGAATGTGGTCTAAGAACTTAAAAAAATTTAATTTACCTATTCAAACCATATCATTATTATTTGCTTTTATATATAAATCAGAAATAATCAATTTAAAATGGAAAATTTTAAAGAAAAAAAAATCCCCCCCCCCCCAAAAATTTTTTGAACCCCATTATGATTCATCACCCCCAAACTCAATCCCAGCCTTCCCTTTGTGGTATTACCCCCAAGTTATTGTCTGGAAACTAGAAAAATGCTTCTTTTTGGCCCCTTATTCCTAAACGTTTTGGGCAATGACCCCCAAACTCAATTCCAGCTTTCCCTTTGTGATATGGAACCTTGTAGTACAATTTCAGAAAGATCCATACACTTACAGATAAAATGTTTCGCTGGGCGCAGCTTGATACGACCGCAGAGGTCGAATCCTGAACAGTTGGGGCAAGTATGGACACAACATTCAAGCTTGATACAGCTCTGAATTTGGATTGTGAATAAATATTTGACACAGCATAGGTTTCTGACACAGAAAGAATGAGGTCTAAGAACTTTAATTTTTTTAATTTACCTATTATGGTCCAATGTCCAAAATCAAAATACATGGTTAGATTCAGCATATCAAAGAACCCCATATATTCAATTTTTGTTGAAATCAAACGAAGTTTAATTTTGGACCCCAACTTGGACAAACTTGAAAACTGTGCCCATAATCAAAAATCTAAACACATGTTTAGATTCAGCATATCAAAGTACCCCAAGAATTCAATTTTTGTTAAAATCAAACTAAGTTTAATTTTGGACCTTTTGGACCTTAATGTAGACCAATTTAAAAAACGGGACCCAAAATTAAAAATCTAAATACACGGTTAGATTTGGAATATCAAAGAACCCCAATAATTCAATTTTTGATGAAATCAAACAAAGTTTAATTTTGACCCTTTTGACCTCAATATGAACCAATTTGATAGCGGGGCCCACAAATAAAAATCTAAATACATGGTTAGATTCAGCATATCAAAGAACCCCATATATTCAATTTTTGTTGAAATAAAAAAAAGTTTAATTTTGGACCCCAACTTGGACCAACTTGAAAACTGGGCCCATAATCAAAAATCTAAACACATGTTTAGATTCAGCATATCGAAGAACCCCAAGAATTCAATTTTTGTTAAAATCAAACTAAGTTTAATTTTGGACCCTTTGGACCTTAATGTAGACCAATTTAAAAAACGGGACCCAAAAATTAAAAATCTAAGAACACGGTTAGATTTGGCATATCAAAGAACCCCAATAATTCAATTTTTGATGAAATCAAACAAAGTTTAATGTTGGACCCTTTTGACCTCAATATGAACCAATTTGATAGCGGGCCCACAAATAAAAAATCTAAACACATGGTTAGATTCAGCATATCAAAGAACCCCATATATTCAATTTTTGTTGAAATCAAACAAAGTTTAATTTTGGACCCCAACTTGGACCAACTTGAAAACTGGGCCCATAATCAAAAATCTAAACACATGTTTAGATTCAGCATATCAAAGAACCCCAAGAATTCAATTTTTGTTAAAATCAAACTAAGTTTAATTTTGGACCCTTTGGACCTTAATGTAGACCAATTAAAAAAACAGGACCCAAAATTAAAAATCTATATACACGGTTAGATTCGGCATAACAAATAAATAAATGTGGTCAAAGATTTTACAAATCTAATGCGCCATACTGTGCAATTAAAGATTACTTCTTGAAATTTTTCAATATTTGAAATTTGAAAAAAAAATAATATTTGAAGAATAATTCTTTTTAATTTCTGAAATCTGAAATGAGAAAAAATTGACCCCCCACAATTTCTTTTTACCCCCCCCCCCCTTTTTTCCCCCAAAAAATTCTTTCCCTCAAGATATGGTCATAATCTCAATTCAAATTTCCAATGGAGTTTGCAACCATAATTACATATTTAAATTTACCATAGTGCTAACTTAATCTATTTTATAATAGAATTTAAAATATAGTGTCAAATCTTTCATATGGATTTTTTTGTAAAAAAAAAAGATGCAACATTTGCAGATATTTTTACTGGTCTTCCTTTATAAATATGCATTTCTTTAAACATAATTTAAAAGCAGTGTAAGGGAAGTAACCAAAACGTTGTATTTGGATTACCTACCTTACACTGTTTTAAATTATCTTAATTGTTCATTAACCATTAGGTGGCAGGTACCAGTTCTTAGCCTCTGTGCCATTGTCCCACGCAGAAAATTAGTATTAAAAAACTTTGGCTATCTTTGTCACTTCACTGGGCAGTGATAAATAAAAAGATTTAAAATTCTAAGTTTGCATTACACAATGCTACCTTTCCTGTTTACATTGATATGCAACATTCATGGTTTTATCCTTGTTTGACATGAAAAATCTAGAGTCCCATATACATACTGTTTGAAGGCTAGCTATACATTTTTATCATGTTTTCCATTGGTCAAAACAGGTGGTTATTTAAGGACACTGCAAAGTGTCAAATTTTGATGGTAAGGATAGGTTCAGCTGTTGTTTATTCGAGTTGCAAGTGATTAAATTAGATGATTTTGAATGATTTTCTTGTCAGTAATTAGCAGGTTTGATGCAATGAGGTCTGGAATAGGGTGCAAAATAAAAAAATTGACATGATTTTGTCCGTTAACTGGGAAAAGTAGGTAATGCGGGATAAAGAAACCATATAAAAAACATTGACCAGAAGTACTTCACTATCAGTTTTAATCAATTCTTAACACAAAAAAATTATCAAGGCATGTTTAAATCTTGCAGAATTATTTACAGAATTTTTTTAAGATTTGGCCTACACTTGCACGTGAATTAGTGAAAAAAACTGGTTTCTGCCACCTTACTTTATACATAATTTAAAAGCAGTGTAAGGGAGATAATTTCAATGATGTATTTGATTTATCTCCCTTACACTGCTTTAAATTATGTTTTGTACTAAAGTATTTGTCCATTAACCAGGACAACCTTGTTTTTCCCCCTTTTTTGCCCCTAATTCCTAAACGGTTTGAGCCATAACCCCCCAAAGCAAATCCTAACCATCCAATGACGTCTTTACACTAAATCCATTGGATATTGGTTGTGTACTGATTGATATTTTAGTGTTAGGTATTTTTTAATTATTTGTTATATTGGCTTTGAACTAGCTGTCAGTAACTTTGAGTACTCTCAGATCTGTGCTGTGTGTCCTTTTTTGTTGTAAGGGATGTATAAATACCCTGTCAAGTTCAGTCTGTGTTTTTTCTACTTTGTATCGATCTGATGAGTTAACTGATTTTAATAGTTTGTTCTTATGTTGTGCAGTAACACCACTGTTCCAGTCAGGGGAGGGTTGAGCGCCCGCAAACATGTTTAACCCCGCCACTTTCTTTATGTGCCTGTCCAAAGTCAGGAGCCTGTAGTTCAGTGGTTGTCGTTGGTTCATGTCCGTCATATTTGTTTTTCGAAAATTGTTTTGTAATAAATAAGGCTGTTAGTTTTACTCAATTGAGTTGTTTCACATCTTTCATGTTTAAGCCTTTTATAGCAGACTATATGGTATGGGTTTTTCTCATTGTTGAAGGCCTTACAGTTGCCTATAATAGCTTACATCAACTTAATTTGAACTTTGGTGGATAGTTGTCTCATTGGCAATCATACCACATCTTCTTATTTTTACAATAAAAATAAAAGAATAACCTCTAACAACCACATTTTCACCCAAATTAAATAAAATAAAAAAATTAAATGACCTTTCAAAATACAGTTCTAACAAATTTGGTTCAATATTTGTTTTTTTAACTTTTCAGATGTGATCATAAAAATTAAAAATGTTAACTGACAGACAGACACCTACCTTTGTCACCAAGATAAACAAAATAGCTGTTATAGAAACAGATCACCAATCTTTTGCAATATATATGTTTCTTAAATGTAACTTTTTACACATCTGTCATTAGTATACATGCTTTTAATACTGCTGTAGTTGATGAACATAAGAATACAGGAGGGGTTACCCCTCCCTTTTCATATATACTGTTTTCAATCATGGCTTCCAAGACCTGTCTGTAAACAAATATATAACAAAGGTATTTTTGTAACTCACATATCCTGATTATATTTAGGATGGCATAAACAAAGCTTTCTAGTCATTTTATTTTTTTATTTTTCAATACTCGTAAAATTTGGCTACAGCATTAATACATAAAATCTCATTGCAGCCAGATCATTAGATGCAACTTTAAAAAATGGTTTGTTAATTTTTAATATAATTTTATAACCCAACAAGATTTGTGTGGTGTTAGATAATCCAGGAACACTTCACGCAGGAAAACTCACAAGACTTTTTTAACATCAACATCATTCTAAAACTACTGACATCTTATGTCATGCAGTTCATGATTATTCAAAGTACTAGTATACCCGTTTCCTAGATTTTGTGAAGACAGACAGTCTGCCAGGTAAAAAATATGTATAGAAAATTTGAATAAAAAATGCAGAGATCCTTTATACAACCAAAATTTGAATAAAATCTCAGTTTGATATTCACAAAACGGATAAATAGACCTTGAAGTTACAACTTACATGAAATGAAGAGCCAACAGTGTTCAATATCAGAGATGAAACAGAGCTTCCACTGTTACTTTTTTTTTTAGATAACAGCGATAGGTTGATATAGAATATGATGTAAGAGGGGCACAACATCTTTTTTTTGGGGGGGAAGTGTAATTGTAAAAAGGAAAAGGGGGTGGTTTGTGTTCATGATAAACTGGTTTGACCCCTCCAAATTTTATGCTAGTAACAAGTCAAGCTATCTGAACCATATGTTGTTTTTTATGTTTGTTTTTGTTTGTATGTCTATTTTTTTCAGGAGTCAGATATTTGTGATTTATGTTGTTTTTCTGTATCCCATATTTTTAAAATTCCTTTAATCCTTTTATGTATATTAACAATGCAAAAATACCAAAAATTAAAACAAATCTGCAAATTGTCATACTATCTCTATTTGCACAATTTGTAAATTTCCTAACTTAAATTTTTTTTTGAACATTCACGTTATGTATGTCTTCATTGCCTTACAAAAACTTGCACTGAATATTAATCTTCATCATGTTATTGACTAAAAATAACTACGAGACAATGAAAGCTTCTTTAAATATTGGAAAAGGAGATAGCTATTAGTTTCTACCTGATAAATAAGGGAGATAACTATTTGTTTTGATAAATGATAAAAAAAAAAAAAAAAGATTGAATTCTGGTCATAGTCATATACATTTTCGTCCCAAAATGTCTAATTCTCACTTTTTATAATTAGTTATGAACTATCATGACTGGACAATACAAGTGCGTTGGATGTCAAATTAAAATCACATTGTCGAAATAAGTAATAAGCAATGAACAATAACTTCTTAAAATTGTCTATAAAGTAACTTTTCCTTCAAAACTTTTCAAATTACAAAGTAAACTACCCTTTAATCATGAATCATATTTTCTTTGAAGAGACTGTTTTAATTTTCTGCAGTTTTAAAATATAAATTTCGCTTCAAGTCATCCTTGAACCATTATATCATCTACAATCAAAGACAAACCTATTTTCATATCTGTGGTGGCATGGATTTCAAATCCACACCAACATTACAAATTTAAGAAAGGGCCATTATACTTTTCATATATTTCAATTCTTTCAAAAATCAATTACACCATATAAAAAAGTCAGTCAGCTTTGAAGTTTCAGCCAATCAGGAACCATCATTATCCCTAATATCAATCTAGTATTTGATTGAAACTAAATACTATTGAGGGCTTTCCAATAACATTGCTGTCAAATTAAGCTGCATTTAACACAGTGGTTTCTCTCAATAAGCTATTATGTTTTAACAATATTGGACAAAAGTAACATAGTAAAGTTGCTTTAAGACCATGTGAGCTTAAAACATACTGTTCAGTTTCAAATATATTCATAACTTTAAAAGACAATATTCCAAATTTACAAATATATTATTACATAATAAAACCTTTTTTTCAGACTAAGACATTTTTCACTCTTAGCTTAAAAACTTTCATCCATCTGTACCCCTTTAGCTCAGATATTTCTTTTGGATTTATTCAAGTCCTTGTGTATATCAATACTAACAGAATATGAAACTCTTTAAAAAAAAAAAAAAACATTCTAAAAGAAAGTGATTTCAGAATAATAGGATATTCAATGCACAGCATGATGTCACCCCAGCAACAAATAAGAGCTTCTTGAAAGTAAATTTTCTTAAGGGGGATGTTACCCCAGCAAATAAATATGAGCTTCTTTAAATAAATTTTCTTACAGGGGAAGAGGGGGTGGGGGTTACCCCAGCAAATTAATAATTTTAATTATTAAAAGGTCATGTGATTGTTAAAGAGTTATGTCCCTTGACTTAGGTCTATTTCCTTAAGGACTACATAAATCAATATGGTTCTGAAAGATCATGTCAAATAGATCCACTGGAAAAGTTCAACTCCTTTTGGATGAACATGAAACCATTCATATCATAGAAAAGTGATCCAAAGAGCTCATAATGTGCAGTAGCTCAATATGATTGGATTCTTTATTCCATGCTAAAGAAAAATGGTAAAACTTATAAAAGATTGAACTTTAACAAAAGTTATATAGAAAAACTCACAAAAAACCTAGATGACCACAAGGAGTAACAATCATTCACACACATACCATAAAACTATCACAATAATTCAGAGTTAATTGTGTCCCTGGCAAGCTTGAACTGTGATTGACAATCATTTCTAATGATGATATTTGTTCTGTATATGTAGCAGAATATTTTAAAATGAACTTTCTTCATTGTGTCGTATCAGAAACCAGATGAAATAATGCTTTTTGGGGTAATATTTTGAAAAAGGCAAGTATATTAAATTTGGAAAAAACTCAAAACTGATATTTGGCTGATCACAGCACATATTTTGCCTTACCCTCATCAAATATGCATTAGATGACAGGTTCTTACAAGAAACAATGCATAACAGTTTAATATCACAATACATACAGACTGCATTGCATGTTAAATAAATGACTTTTGTTGGGTCAATATGCATTGGCTAAAAATGATATCACATATATACTCTGTATAAATTCATTACAAGACCTTTTTTTCATATAAAATAGAACTCTTTGCATATAAAATCACACTATTCAAGAATCATCGTCTTCTTCTGTGTTATTATTTTGTGATGTTGTTAAATTACTGTCAAAAATATCTACTGGATTTGGATAATTGTCCTGTAATGAAGAATCTACTCCATTTAAATCTTTTCTACACACTGGACAAGTTCCATGCTGGAAAAAGAAATTAAAGAGTGGCTTGCAGTACATGTAACTAAGATCATCTTAAAAATAAATAACTGCAAAATAATAAGGGAAATGTGGTATGATTGCCAATAAGACAACTATCAACCAGAGATCAAATGATGTGCATGTAAGCAACTGTAGGTCAACATAGCCTTCAACAATGATCTTATCATAATATCTTACTTCTTACAAATTTTTATTTTTGGCAAGATGTCTATTTTTTCATACAACCAAGCTGGCATGAAAACATTGTTATGATTTGACAGAAATTTAGCATGTTTTAATAAGGGCTTCCAAACTTGTCATATTTGCCAGCCAAATCTTTTTCTTTCAATAAATGTCAGTTTTTTTTTATTAGAAAATCAACAGAACCATATTATTTCCCCCCTAACTGTGTGCACATGTGCTTATGTGTGAAAATTAAATATACACACAAAAGTTTTTCATTTTGTGTAAGCATCTTTTTGCAAGTTAATATATTAATATTTTATTTCATATTTTCTATTTATACTTATGTTATAAAAAAACAAGAGTGCACACGCTGAAATGTCTCGCCTTCTTTACTAATCATTGATATTATGTTGATAGTCCTAAATATAAAGCTTTATTACAACTGTCACATAAACTTAACATTAACCAAGTAAACTAAACATTGACCAATGAACCATGAAAATGAGGTCAAGGTCAGATGAACCATGCTAGGCAGGCATGTACAGCTAACAATTCTTCCATACAACAAATATAGTTGACCTATTGCTTATAGTTTAAGAAAAACAGACGAAAACACAAAAACTTAACACTGAGCAATGAACCTTGAAAATGAGGTCAAGGTCAAATAAAACCTGCGTGACTGACATATAGATCATAAAATATTTCCATACACCAAATATAGTTGAACTATTGCATATAGTATTAGACCAAAACTCAAAAACTTAACTTTGACCACTGAACCATGAAAATGAGGTCAAGGTAAGATGACACCTGCCAGCTAGACATGTACACCTTACAATCATTCCATACACCAAATATAGCTGACCTATTGCATGCAGTATTAGAAAAAAAGACCAAAACTCAAAAACTTAACTTTGACCACTGAACCATGAAAATGAGGTCAAGGTCAGATGACACCTGCCAGCTAGACATGTACACCTTACAATCATTCCATACACCAAATATAGTAGACCTATTGCATACAGTATAAGAAAAACAGACCAAAACACAAAAACTTAACTATAACCACTGAACCATGAAAATGAGGTCAAGGTCAGATGACACCTGCCAGTTGGACATGTACACCTTACAGTCCTTCCATACACCGAATATACTAGACCTATTGCTTATAGTATCTGAGATATGGACTTGACCACGAAAACTTAACCTTGTTCACTGATCCATGAAATGAGGTCGAGGTCAAGTAAAAACTGTCTGACGGGCATGAGGACCTTGCAAGGTACGCACATACCAAATATAGTTATCCTATTACTTATAATAAGAGAGAATTTAACATTACAAAAAATCTGAACTTTTTTTTCAAGTAGTCACTGAACCATGAAAATGAGGTCAAGGACATTGGACATGTGACTGACTGAAACTTCGTAACATGAGGCATCCATATACAAAGTATGAAGCATCCAGGTCTTCCATCTTCTAAAATATAAAGCTTTTAAGAAGTTAGCTAACGCCGCCGCCGCCGCCGCCGGATCGCTATCCCTATGTCGAGCTTTCTGCGACAAAAGTCGCAGGCTCGACAAAAATCAAGAAATTAACAGTCTTTGTAATAAGATGGTATACTAAATTACTATGTATTCCAAAATAAGGGGCAATTATTATTATTTATACAAATAGAGCAACTTTGTTGCAGTGAGTTAGTGAATTTGAGTAAATATCATTTAGAAGATTTATTTGATTCTTTACCATTTCTTATCAATGTGGTCTAAAATTTGACATTATCATCTTCAGTAGAAAACTCGCAAGGGTTCACTGATAATAATTATTTATAAATGCATACCCAATAAAATATTTCAAGAATTGGGGGGATTGCCTCCCCTGACTCACTGGAACAATGAATGATCTATGAATTATCAGATATATATTATATACTATTAGATTATTCAATCCATCTAGTATAGGAAAGGATTTGTAAAGGCGTTGCCTTTTGTCCAATCCCTTTGTTTAAATGTATGATTGATATTAGAATAATAAAATATTTTGAATTGAATTATGTGGTGAGAAGCACTCAAATCAATAAATTGTTGGTGGTTGCATTTTCTTCAGAATTTTGTGAGAATTATAAATAAAATAAAGATTTTATATTATTATGGGTGGTTGGGGTCTAAGAAAATTGCCTCCCTCCTAAGATTTAAATCTGGAACATACCTTATAAAAAGTATAGCATACACTTAAGTCCCTTGACAATACACATTTGAAGATTATCAATGTTAGTTAAAGAAACCGTATAAATGTGACCTACTGTCAATAAACAGAACAAACATCAAAATATGAAGTTACCATTTCAGGGCCTTGTGACCAAATTACTTACACTTAATTCCTTTTATGATTATCCTTGTTTGGTCTAAAAGCCTTTAGTTATGAAACCAAGAAAAATTAAAATGGTATTGAAACTAGAGGCTCTCAAGAGCCTGTGTCGCTCACCTGTATTTACTGATGCTTTGGAAATCATGTGAAATAAGGTTAAAATCATAATTAATAGTATTAGATATTAGATATTATAATGATATCTAAGATAATAACAAAAAACTGCAAAATTTTTGTAAAATTACTAACTCAGGGGCAGCAACCCAACAACGGGTCGTCGGATTTGTCTGAAAATTTCAGGGCAGATAAATCTAAATCTGATGAACATTTTTGCCACATGTCAGATTTGCTCTAAATGCTTTAGTTTCAGAGATATAAACCAAAAACTGCATTTTACCCCTATGTTCTATTTTTAGCCATGGCGGCCATCTTGGTTGGTTGGCGGGGTCATCGGACAAATTTTTTAAACTAGATACCCTAATAATGATTATGGCCAAGTATGGTTAAATTTGTATCAGTAGTTTCAGAGAAGAAGATTTTTGTAAAAGATTACAAAAATTTACGAAAAATTGTTAAAAATTGATTATTAAGGGCAATAACTCCTAAAGGGGTCGACTGACAATTTTGGTCATGACAACTTATTTGTAGATCTTACTTTGCTGAACATTATTGCTGTTTACAGTTTATCTCTATCTATAATAATATTCAGGATAATAACCAAAAACTGCAAAATTTCCTTAAAATTACCAATTCAGGGGCAGCAACCCAACAACAGGTTGTCAGATTTGTCTGAAAATTTCAGGGCAGATAGATCTTGACCTGATAATCAGTTTTACCCTATGTCAGATTTCCTCTAAATGCTTTGGTTTCAGAGATATAAGCCAAAATCTACATTTTACCCCTATGTTCTATTTTTAGCCATGGCGGCCATCTTGGTTGGTTGGCGGGGTCATCGGACACATTTTTTAAACTAGATACCCTAATGATGATTGTGGCCAATTTTGGTTAAATTTGGCCCAGTGTTTCAGAGGAGAAGATTTTTGTAAAAAGCTAACGACGACGGACGACGACGGACGCCAAGTGATGAGAAAAGCTCACTTGACCCTTCGGGTCAGGTGAGCTAAAAAAGTGTCTGGCTGACTCAATTTTTTTGAGGAAGCCCTGGTTTGGGAAAAATGCTCCAAAGTTTTCACAGAGATATTAGTATCCTGAATAAACTTACCATTTCTAACCATTTAACTATACAGTCATTATGATAATGGTGATCACAGGGTAACCGTTTTACTTCTTCGTCTAAATTAAAATCTTCAAAACATATGGCGCAATGTGCACCTTTATCTGAAATAAAAGGAATTCATATTAACTATTCATCTGAAAGTAACCACAAGATTTCAAAGCATTATGACAATTCCTGTTTCAGGGTCAACCAGGGAATGAACAGTTTTGATATTGGAAAATGCAACTTTTTGCCAAAGGGGCAAGTGAATTTTTCTTTTTATGCATATTTCATATGCTTGTATCTGTATATCAATGTTTGTTTAGAGTATTTACACATTCCAGTTACAATATTTAAAGAAACACCAACAGTCATGTTATTTGAATAATTTTTTTTTCGAAAAGGCAAAAGGGAGGACATAAGTACCAAGTCTCTATTTTGGATTTGCATTTCTGAAATTCAATATTGAAGTCAAATCTCCTTCTAGTTCCCCTATCTTGCTCTTATGCTGAGGATAAAAAAAAAGACCAACATGGGTGGTGGCATCATGCAAAATGGATACAACTTTCTAAGACCTCCAGAGAAATAAGCCTATCATATAATGGTATGAAATTCATAATTATATCACTATTAAAAACTCCAGGTTATCAAACTAAAGCCTTATTTCATAAACTGTTGACACAGAGATATGCCTCACCTTTTTGTAATTTTGGTAGTATAATGCAAATATTGAATCCAAATTGCAATATTTAAACATGTAAACTATGCAAAACATTGACTTAAAAAGCAGGACCAAATAACCTCCATGGAAATGAGAAATGCCGATGCTAATAAAACTGCATACAAAATACCATTGACTTATCATAAGTGGTGGCCTTTACACTAACCTACAGAGATGCAGATAATAAAAATTTCCTGTCAGACATTGGGTTCTGCATATAAAACAGTTTTGCCAGTCCTATCAACTGTTTGCAAGACCTACTTTTTTGGAAAAATAATAACTAGTTCCCAGTTGGATTAAGATATGCCTTAAAACCTTGACTAGAACGACCAGGTCAAATAAGGATATGACCATGGGGTGGTTTAATAACTGAGACCACATTCAATTTAAATTATCGTCAAAATGAATATGTGTGTTCTCATGAAATGAAAATAAATGGGGATTGTGTCCATGGGACACAGATGATGCCCCTGCTTGTATAAAACATTATAAAGGGACATAACTCAAAAACTGTAAAACCGCTACACAAATTTGTACTTGATCTGAGTTTTGTGGTAATGGGCATTGTGTATAAGTTTCATAACATTTGGTTGAGGCAAACTTAAGTTAGAGAATGGAAACAAAAAATCAGCAATTTTTCCATTTGTAAAGGGGCATAACTCTAGAATAGTAAAAACTTAAGTTAGAGAATTGAAACCAATTTCAGGACGTACAGATGGACAAGGATCAAACTTAATGCCCCCTCCGCTACGTTTGTGCTTAATCTAATTTTCATAAATCTGGTAATTTGTTGACCCTTAACAGAACTTTTGGTTTTCAATGCTTTTCAACTACATAATTGATTTGGCCATCTATTGTTCCAAATTCATGCACCACTGATTTGTCATATTGAGACAAAACCTGTGTTTGTCGTACTAACAATGTTCTCGTTAAGGCGCATATTATTCGCACCCCAGACGTATGGTTTTCTGTCTTGATGCGCCATTGCATGAACCATGTGTCTGATACACTTGCTGAGTCTTGTAATCATCAGAATTATCCCTCAGCTATATAAAAAAAAGCTGAAAACATGCTTCTTTTCAATATTTTTACTGGAAATTTACTTTTCGTTTTCATTCAATGCTATGTTTAATGATAAATCCTGAGAAATACGCAAATAATTATGATCACAGGACTTACACTAATTGGATAAACTGCATACCAAATATCATTGACTTAACATTAGTGGTTCCTCTTAAACTGATCTAATCACAAACTTTATCATGAGAGCTATTCAAAACATTCAAAGTAAATAGACCATGACTGAGAGGGCAGAGCCAAATAAACTCTGTGGTAATGAAATGTACCAAGGCTAATGCATCTACATACCATATACCATAAACCTACCACTAGTGGTCCCATTAACTGACCTAATCACAAACTAATACATGTAAACTATGCAAAAAGTTTCAAAGTCAATAGACCATGAATGAGGAGGCAGAACCAAGTAATCTCCATGGAAATGAGATGTGCCAATGCTAACACGACTGCATACCAAATATCATTGACCTACCACAAGTGGTTCCCCATTAACTGACCTAACCACAAACTAATACATGTAAAGTAAACAAAAGTTTCAAAGTCAATAGACTATAACAAAGGGGGCAGGACCAAATAATCTCCATGGAAATGAGATGTGCCAATGCTAATACAACTGCATACCAAATATCATTGATCTACCACTAGTGGTTCCCCATAAACTGACCTAATCACAAACTAATACATTATTGACACTGCCGCTGCCATCAGAAAAAGCATACCTAAGTCTCGCTTTTTGACTCAGAAAAACTGTGTCTTTAGTGGAAGAATGTTGCAGTACACTAAATACAGCGTTAGAATTTATATATAAAGTTACAAAGCTAAAATTAAGATTGATTGACTGTATGTTGCTTAGGTAAACATTTTTATGCATATTCAGGAACAAATTTCAAAACAAATTAAGTTCATCAATGTGTAGGATTTAAGAGGTTGTTGGACGAAAAGAACACCTAATTTTGACTGTTGCATAAAAGCATGGTCATCACATTGAGTAGAGGCAGAATATTAGTGTAACAACAGGTCACATGATGTATTTATGTAAATATCTCATATCCTTTATGATACAATCACTTACCTACAAGCTTGGGTGTTATTTTTATTGAAGGTAATGAATCTATTTTACTTTTCTCAGCAGGAGCTGGACCTGAACCTTCTAATTGATTCAATAACTGAAAGGATAACACATGTTGATTAAGGAGTGAAACGTATAGGCTTCAAGGAAAGACAATTTAAAATCTACTACATAAACTTATTTCAATGAAATGGACTTTAAAATAAAAATATGCATACAAATGGTAAATTCCTTCAATGATTTGCTACAATGTTTAAGGTCCTATTATGTGAATTGTTAACAATCACTTGAAATTTGAAATAAGAATTTAATCGTGCTTCAAGAGGATGAAAAATTTGAAAGAGTGTCTTAGAAACTTATGATGAAGGAAAATTCACACATTATAGGACAAATCATGATTAAATTAGTTGTAAATTTATTGAGCATGAAATTTCAAAAAAAAATAATTAAAATTTTTTTTTGAACTTTCCACATAAATGTTTAATTCTATTTATACTTGCAAGCCTTTTGTATTTTACATTAATAAATAAAGTGTATCCATATAAAGGTTGTGTAAATGAATAATTCTAATTAAATTGACTAAGATTTTTTGAAAATATGAAAATCATTTTACCTGTGTAACAATATTGTCTAGACCATGAACACCCCATGCATAATCTCCTGGATTACCATGCATCATGGGTATAAAATTTCTGAAGAATAAAAGAGAGATATTAGTTCTTTTAAAATTACAAGTCATTTGGTTTCAAAGGTCCAAATCCAAAGTTTACTGGTCCAAATTATAGTGGCTATGAACTGTTTTGCAACTAAATATGTAATCAAGCAATGGAAATACTGTCTTTTGGTGTTTATAGTATGCAGATTTTTACCCTGGGATTGATTTCTGAAAAGGGGGGTGCATATCATGTATGGCTGCACTGTTCTTTAGTTTTTTTTTCAGGTCCAAATTCCAACCAAGAAATGAGGTAGTCAGGAGAAAAATATTTTCATAGCATAAACTTGATAGTTGTTTTATTTTACTATTTGTACCTTCTTGTATCTGATTTGTAAAGTTCTATGCAAATAAAAATCATTTAAATGCTTTAGTAGTTGTGTTTTTGCGTTTTCTTGTGTTTTCTGTTGCCACCCAGGAGTTGCATTTGATCATGTCCAAATTACAGATGAAGGATTCTGTCAATGACCAAATTAGTGTAGGTGTTTCTCGAGTTTATTACTTACTTTGTATATATGTTCTAACAAAGGAATACAGAAGGTAAATGTATGAAAATTGAATGAAACACGCTCATTTGATGATAGCGACCACCATTGTTTTTACTTTCGTAGTATCAGGTGGTCACATCATGTGACTTTTAACGTTGTAAAGTTGAAAAAAGTGATGATTTTAAATACGTTTTCACTTTGTGACATTTTAAAAACCTTCATACAAATCATAATTGCAGACATGTCAATGCCATCTTGTCAACTGTACGAATTTGATTACGGAACAAAATGAATTTGTCAATTGATTTGTTTTGACAATGATTAGACTTTCTAATTGAAATCCAATAAGAGTGTGATAATCCAGATTAAACGATTCCTTGATTACCAACAAACAACAAATAAAATTCATAAAGGGTTCCCTGTGTCTCCCAAGTTCCATGAAGGTTTACAAATTTATCATGTAAAAAAATTTTAATCCCAAAGTGTCTGTAAAATGTTAAATGTAAAAATTTAAGTTCATCTATCAGAAAAATACTAAAAATGAAAAAAATATACTTTCAAAGGTTTGCTTCAGACATTTAAAAAGCTAGTGTCAAAGTTTTATAAAGTACTTGATGTGTAACAAACTTTAACCACAAACTGTATCTACTTGTTACATGTAACTGTAAAAAAAACTAAGTCCATTTATCAGTAAAATACGGAAAAAATGAAAATAAATATTTTCCAAAATTTTGTCTTTTGATCATAAACAAGCTTCTGTCCAAATTAAATCAAATTCCATGAAGGTTTGACAAAGTTTAACTGTTATTGATGACTGATAAACTTTAACCTCAGAAAAAATCTGAAGTTAACTGTAAAAAAACTTAAGTCCATTTATTAGTAAAATAAGGAAAAATGAAAATAAATATTTTCAAAATTTCGCGCTGGATACTGTATTTTGGTCTTAAACAAGCTTCTGTCCCAATTTCATAAAATTCCATGTAGGTTTAACAAAGTTATCTATGTCCAAAAACTTAGACTGAACCTAAATGTTTCATCTGCCAACGGAATCTAGGATCGCTATGTCTCGCTTTAGAAAAATAAATTTGGCAGGCTCGACAAAAATCAGTAGAGATTAATATTAATTTCAGCACTAATTTATCAACATAAATATTACAATTTATTCATTTATTGTGTATTTCAGAATATTTGTAATAATTCTGTACTCCGTATAAGATTCACCAACTGCCATTTGCATTTAAACAACTTCCCGATTTAACACTTCCTGTTGTTTTCAATGAGATACATCCGTGAAAAAAATCAAACATCATTTGCTATATTATTTTAATATTCTGCAACAATATTACATTATCTCGTAACCAACCAGGACTGGACTTCCATTTGTCTCCAAAATAGAAATCACTTTCAATGGACACATTTTATCGAGTTTCAAGTTGGGATTTTTTCCAGAAAGTCCCTTTGTGCTAAGCATAAGAAGAAACTTTTTTTTTCAAGTTTCAAGGGCAAAAAAGAGAGTACTACACCAAAAGACGGAAATAAATAGGGTCTGCAAATATTAAGATAATGGTATGCAATAGTTGTAAGTTGTCTCTGATATCAAATTTAATTGCTTCACTTGTGCAAAATGAAATCTTAGCTTTCAATTATTTGTTAAGCTTTAAATTCCAATAATCATTGATTCTGCCTGAAAATTATTTAGGACCAGTTTTAATGATTTGTTGTCTTGAAGACTTATTTAGGACAATTTTAAATGATTTGTTGTCTTGACCACTTCTTTATTTTAGGACCATTTATAATGATTTGTTCTCTTGAAAACTTGTTTAGGACCATTTTTAATGATTTGTTCTCTTGACCACTTATTGAGAACCATTTTTAATGATTTGTAATCTTGATGATTTATTTAGGACCATTTAAAATGACTTGTTCTCTTGACAATTTGTTTAGGACCATTTAAAATGATTTGTTCTCTTGACAATTTGTTTAGGACCATTTTAAGTGAATTGTTCTCTTGAAGCATGTTTAGGACCATTTTAAATGATTTGTTATCTTTACCACTTATCTATGAACATTTTTAATGATTTGTTCTCTTGACAACATATTCAGGACCATTTTTTATGATTTGTAATCTAGACGATTTATTAAGGACCATTTCTAATGATTTGTTCCCTTGACAATTTGTTTAAGACCATTTTTAATGATTTGTTCTCCTGACAACTTATTTAGGACCATTTTACATGATTTGTAATCTTGGCTTATTAAGGACCATTTCTAATGATGTTCTCTTGACAACTTGTTTAAGATCATTTTTAATGATTTGTTCACTAAACAGTTCTGACTTCTGTTTAAGCCTTATAGCTTTTGATGCTTACCATTTTTTAGTCTCAAGCACACATAATGAAGGCTATAACAGAAATATGCATTGTTGCACTGAAATCAGTAACAGCTGTTGGGACTGGAAAAAGGTTTTGTCTGCCAAATAGTCAATGCTTTGGTATTAGCTTGATTTATATATTTATTGTATATTTTTAGTTTTTAAGTTATGTTGTTGTACTTAATGGATTTGCCTATTTGGCTGATATGTTTAGGCTCATTGTCTTTGGTAACCATACTTTTCTGTATTTGACTTCATAAGATTTTAGTCTCTAATGTATTTCATTGTTCTTCCTGACAACTTCATGTCAATCAATGAACCATCAAAATTAGGCAAAAAATAAAATTAAGATTGTTTGATGTTGCCTTTCTTCTCACCTAAAAAGCACCCTACACGAAAAATTTTATGAAACAAATCGTTTCAAATTCTTTTATAAAGTTTTTTAGTGCTCTAACATTGTTTTTTTGTCTAATACATGTAACTTATGTTGTTGGCCAAAAAAAAATCAAAGTGCTGGATAGCACCTCTGGAAAGTTTGCAACTGTAGATGTGTATTATTTCAAAAAGGTTATAGATGTGTATTATTTCAAATAGGTTATAGACGTGTATTATTTCAAATATGTATTTAATCACAGCTTTGATGTTTTTAACTAAACCTTTGTCTCGTCAGCAATTATCAAAAATTGTTTGTCATAGAAAATTTTTGATATTTTCTAATGCAACCTTAAACTGTAGATCTAAAATAATCAAATATACAGAAAGCTCTGTTAATTTCTTTATGTGCCTATGCCATGTCAAGGGCCTGTAAATTTAATATTTTTCTATTGGTTTAGGTCCTTCATATTTGTTTTTAGTAAAATGTTTTGTTACTGATTAACCCGTAAGGTTTCTTGTTTGAATTGTTCCACATGTTTCATATCAGGGCCTTTTATAGCTTACTATATGGTACAAGTTTTTCTCATTGTTGACGACCATATGGTTGCCTATAGTTGTTAACATATCTTCCTCCTTTAAACTCTTTTGGATAGCATTGGTTCATTTGCCAAAAATACCTCATTTTTTATTAAAATACAACAGTTTACTTAAATCAATACAACTGTAATGAAAGTGAATTTATATTGAAGGCTGTGATCAATAAAAAGGGAATGTGTCCATGATACAAATGATGCCCCCGCTAGCATTAACGTTATTAAGAGTCACAACTCAAGAACTGTAAATGTGACGCTACCAAAATTTGTACTTGATCTGAGTTTTGGGGTAATAAGCATTGTGTATACATTCTTCACATTAAGTTGAGGCAAACTTAAAAGTTAAAGAACGGAATCGAAAAAATCAGCAATTTTTCCATTTTTTAACGGGGCACAACCCTAGAGCAGTAACTAGAGGCTCTAAAGAGCCTATATCGCTCACCTTGGTCTATGTGCATATCAAACAAAGGACACACATGGATTCATGACAAAATTGTGTTTTGGTGATGGTGATGTGTTTGTAGATCTTACTTCACTGAACATTCTTGCTGCTTTCAATTATCTCTCTTTATAATGCACTTTCAGTTTCAGAGGAAAATATTTTGTAAAAATTTACAAAAATTTACAAAATTTATGAAAATTGTTAAAAATTTACTATAAAGGGCAATAACTCCAGAACTCCTAAAGGGGTCAATTGACCATTTTGGTCATGCAGACCTATTTGTAGATCTTACTTTGCTGTACATTATTGCTGTTTATCTCTACTATAATAATATTCAAGATAATAACCAATAAACTGCTTCGCTGAGCGCAGCTGGATACGCCCGCAGAGGTCCAACCCTGAACAGTTGGGGCAAAAATGGACACAATATTCAAGCTTGATTACGGACGGACGGTCAACGGTATACCATAATACGTCCCGTAAACGGACTTATAAAAACGGCAAAATTTCCTTAAAATTACCAATTCAGGGGCAGCAACCCAACAAGGGGTTGTCTGATTCATCTGAAAATTTCAGTGCAGAAAGATCTCAACCTGATTAACATATTTACCCCATGTCAGATTGCTCTAAATGCTTTGGTTTCAGAGATATAAGCCAAAAACTGCATTTTACCTCTATGTACTATTTTTAGCCATGTCGGCCATCTTGGTTTGTGGGCGCGGTCATCGGACATGTTTTTGAAACTATAAACCCTAATGATGATTGTGGCCAAGTTTAGATAAATTTGTCTCAGCAGTTTCAGAGAAGATTTTTGTAAAAGATTACAAAAATTTAAGAAAAATTGTTAAAAAATTTACTATAAAGGGCAATAACTCCTTAAGGGGTCAACTGACAATTTTGTTCATGTTGACTTATTTGTAGATCTTACTTTTCTGAACATTTATTGCTGTTTACAGTTTATCTCTATCTTTAATAATATGCAAGATAACCAAAAACTGCAAAATTTCCTTAAAATAACCAATTCAGGGGTAGCAACCCAACAACGGGTTGTCCAGTTCGTCTGAAAATTTCAGGGCAGATAGAAATTGACTGATAAACAATTTAACCCCGTGTCAGATTTACTATAAATGCTTTGGTTTCAGAGATATAAGCCAAAAACTGCATTTTACCCCTATGTTCTATTTTTAGCCATGTTGGCCATCTTGGTTGGCGAACTGGGTCATCGGACAAATTTTTAAAACTAAGTCATATGAAACTTCAAATTTAAAAAAAAAGTTGAACATGTTTTATATACTTGAATGGCTGAGTTTTACTATAAAACAAGTGTACATGAACTTTCTTGTAAAAGAAATCATTTATGTTATCAAAATCTTCACAATTGTACTACTGCTATTGAATTATTGTCTTCCCGTACACCCAAACTGCCCATATTTTCCTGTATGCAGTGACCTTAACTACGAGACCTCTCATTAGAACTTCAGTGACCTCACAGCGCAAGTGCGAGGGGAAAACCATGATGAAAGAATGTAAACAAACGTGTACTGGATGGTAAATAGTAATGACTGATTCTTAAAGAACAAATATAATACACCAAATCATTCAACAACTGTTAAGGAAAAGATTTACCAATGGGAACGCATGTAAAATATAACAAACAAGAATGTGTCCATAGTACATGGATGCCCCACTAGCGCTATCATTTTCTATGTTCAGTGGACCATGAAATTGGGGTCAAAACTCTAATTTGGCATTAAAATTTAAAAGATCATATCACAGGAAACATGTGTACTAAGTTTCAAGTTGATTGGACTTCAACTCCATCAAAAACTACCTTGACCAAAAACTTTTACCTGAAGCTGGACAGACGGTTGGACAGACGAACGAACGAACGGACGCACAGACCAGAAAACATAATGCTCCTACTACTATCGTAGGTGGGGCATAAAAATATATTGTCTCTATCAATTCACTTATTTATCACATTATCTGTGTTGATTGCTTATCAATGGTTAATTTCGGCAACAAACTCGGAAGTTAATTAGCTTGTGATCAACAAGCACTGAATGAAATATTATTTATAGATAATATGTTATAGATTCAAAATGAATATAAAAACATGCATACATGATTTAGTTTAGTATATACGCATGCATTTGTTCGATAACATTAAAATTACAAGAAACTTCTTTCATATGAGTTTAATATTGGAACATGTTGTGAGCATTGATCATTGATGTCATACTTGACCAATAATAGTCTACAGCATAATGTTTGGTAAACACTGACCACTTAAGTGGCATTCATTTTTTTAAACACTTTTAAAGACTAAACTTACAATGCTGGACCATGGGCATCTGATAATCTGTCTATAAACATTTGTAACAACCTGCAATATAATAAGGAGAACTTTTTTACTCAGAATATTTAAAGCATAATATGTTAAAACATTTGTAAAGAGCTCTATAGAATCCTATGTCTCACATGCAACTGCAAGGTGGAAAATTGTAATATTGACTGCCAAAAATGCTGTTTCCATTATCAGTAAAATAAAGAAAATCAAAATTAAATTAAATGCTCCGCTGGGCACAGCTTGATACGACCGCAGAGGTCAAACCCTGAACAGTTGGGGCAAGTATGGACACAACTTTCAAGCTTGATACAGCTCTGAATTTGGATTGTGATTAAATATTTGACACAGCATAGGTTTCTGACACAGAATGAATGTGGTCTAAGAACTTAAAAAATTTTAATTTACCTATTATGGTCCAATATCCAAAATCTAAATACATGGTTAGATTCAGCATATCAAAGAATCCAAAGAATTCAATTTTTGATGAAATCAAACAAAATTTAATTTTGGACCCTTTTGACCTCAATGTGGACCAATTTGATAACGGGCCCAAAAATCAAAATACATGGTTAGATTCAGCATATCAAAGAACCCCATATATTCAATTTTTGTTGAAATCAAACAAAGTTTAATTTTGGACCCCAACTTGGACCAACTTGAAAACTGGGCCCATAATAAATAAAATGCTCCGCAGGGCGCAGCTTGATACGACAGCAGAGGTCGAACCCTGAACAGTTGGGGCAAGTATGGACACAACATTCAAGCTTGATACAGCTCTGAATTTGGATTGTGATTAAATATTTGACACAGCATAGGTTTCTGACACAGAATGAATGTGGTCTAAGAACTTAAAAATTTTAAATTGGACATTCACCTATTATGGTCCAATATCCAAAATCTAAATACATGGTTAGATTCAGCATATCAAAGAACCCCAAGAATTCAATTTTTGATGAAATCAAACAAAGTTTAATTTTGGACACTTTTGACTTCAATGTGAACAAAGTTGATAACGGGGCCCAAAAATCAAAAATCTAAATACATGGTTAGATTCAACATATCAAAGAACCCCATATATTCAATTTTTGTTGAAATCAAACAAAGTTTAATTTTGGACCCCGATTTGGACCAACTTGAAAACATGGCCCATAATCAAAAATCTAAATAGATTCAGCATATCAAAGAACCCTAAGAATTCAATTTTTGTTAAAATCAAACTAAGTTTAATTTTGGACCCTTTGGACCTTAATGTAGACCAATTTGAAAACGGAACCAAAAATCAAGAATCTAAATACACGGTTAGATTCAGCATATCAAAGAACCCCAATAATTCAATTTTTGATGAAATCAAACAAAGTTTAATTTTGGACCCTTTGGACCTCAATGTGGACCAATTTAAAAACGGGGCCCAAAAACCCCATTGAAATTGGTCAAGAAATAAGCAATTTATACGAAGTATCTTTTTTTGCACAATACTGTGCAATTGAATATTTCTTGCTATTGCGCAATACTGTACAATTGACAATTTCTTGCTATTGCGCAATATTGTGCTATTGGATATTTCTTGCTATTGCACAATACTGTGCAATTGAAGATTTCTTGCTATTGCGCAATACTGTGCAATTGAAGATTTCTTGCTATTGTGCAATACTGTGCAGTTGAAAATTTCTTGCTATTGCACAATACTTATTATGTAATAATTTACACATCCAGTTTGGTGTGTATCTCCTACCATATCATTATTATTTGCTTTTAAATATAAATCAGAAATAACCAACTTAAAATGGAAAATTTTAAAAGAAAAAAAAAAGGAAACCCCCCCCCCCCCCCCAAAATTTTTTGAACCCCCTTATGATTCATCACCCCTAACTCAATCCCAGCCTTCCCTTTGTGGTATGGTACCTTGCAGTACAATTTCAGAGAGATCCATACACTTGAACACAAGTTATTGTCTGGAAACTAGAAAAATGTGTATTTTGGCCCCTTTTTGGCCCCAAATTCCTAAACTTTTAGGGCAATTACCCCAAACTCAAACCCAGCTTTCCCTTTGTGATATGGAACCTTGTAGTACAATTTCAGAAAGATCCATACACTTACACACAAGTTATTGTCATGAAACTAGAAAAAATGCTTGTTTTTTTGCCCCTTTTTTGGCCCCTTATTCCTAATATTTTGAGGCAATTACCCCCAAAATCAATCCCAGCATTCCCTGTGTGATATGGAACCTTGTGGTAGAATGTCAGAGAGATCCATACACTAACACACAAGTTATGTCTGGAAGTTACAAAAATGCTTATTTTTGGCCCCTAATTCCTTAACTGTTGGTACCATAACCCCCAAAATCAATCCCAACCTTCCTTTTGTGGTATTGAACCTTATGGTAAAATTTCATAGAGATCCATTCACTTAAACTAAAGTTAGAGTGCGAAAACCAATGTGTCTTCGGACTACGCTGGACGACGACGACGACGCCAACGTCATACCAATATACGACCGCAAAAATTTTTGCGGTCGTATAAAAATCTAAACACATGGTTAGATTGGGCATATCAAAGAACCCCAAGAATTCAATTTTTGTTAAAATCAAACTAAGTTTAATTTTGGACCCTTTGGATCTTAATGTAGACCAGTTTAAAACGGGACCCAAAATTAAAAATCTAAATACACGGTTAGATTTGGCATATCAAAGAACCTCAATAATTCAATTTTTGATGAAATCAAACAAAGTTTAATTTTGGACCCTTTTGACATCAATATGAACCAATTTGATAGCAGGGCCCACAAATAAAAAATCTAAATACATGGTTAAATTCAGCATATCAAAGAACCCCATATATTTAATTTTTGTTGAAATCAAACAAAGTTTAATTTTGGACCCCAACTTGGACCAACTTGAAAACTGGGCCCATAATAAATAAAATGCTCCGCAGGGCGCAGCTTGATACGACAGCAGAGGTCGAACCCTGAACAGTTGGGGCAAGTATGGACACAACATTCAAGCTTGATACAGCTCTGAATTTGGATTGTGATTAAATATTTGACACAGCATAGGTTTCTGACACAGAATGAATGTGGTCTAAGAACTTAAAAATTTTAAATTGGACATTCACCTATTATGGTCCAATATCCAAAATCTAAATACATGGTTAGATTCAGCATATCAAAGAACCCCAAGAATTCAATTTTTGATGAAATCAAACAAAGTTTAATTTTGGACACTTTTGACTTCAATGTGAACAAAGTTGATAACGGGGCCCAAAAATCAAAAATCTAAATACATGGTTAGATTCAACATATCAAAGAACCCCATATATTCAATTTTTGTTGAAATCAAACAAAGTTTAATTTTGGACCCCGATTTGGACCAACTTGAAAACATGGCCCATAATCAAAAATCTAAATACATGTTTAGATTCAGCATATCAAAGAACCCTAAGAATTCAATTTTTGTTAAAATCAAACTAAGTTTAATTTTGGACCCTTTGGACCTTAATGTAGACCAATTTGAAAACGGAACCAAAAATTAAGAATCTAAATACACGGTTAGATTCAGCATATCAAAGAACCCCAATAATTCAATTTTTGATGAAATCAAACAAAGTTTAATTTTGGACCCTTTGGACCTCAATGTGGACCAATTTAAAAACGGGCCCAAAAACCCCATTGAAATTGGTCAAGAAATAAGCAATTTATACGAAGTATCTTTTTTTGCACAATACTGTGCAATTGAATATTTCTTGCTATTGCGCAATACTGTACAATTGACAATTTCTTGCTATTGCGCAATATTGTGCTATTGGATATTTCTTGCTATTGGGCAATACTGTGCAATTGAAGATTTCTTGCTATTGGGCAATACTGTGCAATTGAAGATTTCTTGCTATTGTGCAATACTGTGCAGTTGAAAATTTCTTGCTATTGCACAATACTTGTTATATAATAATTTACACATCCTGTTTGGTGTGTATCTCCTACCATATCATTATTATTTGCTTTTAAATATAAATCAGAAATAACCAACTTAAAATGGAAAATTTTAAAAGAAAAAAAAAAGGAAACCCCCCCCCCCCCCCCCAAATTTTTTGAACCCCCTTATGATTCATCACCCCTAACTCAATCCCAGCCTTCCCTTTGTGGTATGGTACCTTGCAGTACAATTTCAGAGAGATCCATACACTTGAACACAAGTTATTGTCTGGAAACTAGAAAAATGTGTATTTTGGCCCCTTTTTGGCCCCAAATTCCTAAACTTTTAGGGCAATTACCCCAAACTCAAACCCAGCTTTCCCTTTGTGATATGGAACCTTGTAGTACAATTTCAGAAAGATCCATACACTTACACACAAGTTATTGTCATGAAACTAGAAAAAATGCTTGTTTTTTGCCCCTTTTTTGGCCCCTTATTCCTAATATTTTGAGGCAATTACCCCCAAAATCAATCCCAGCATTCCCTGTGTGATATGGAACCTTGTGGTACAATGTCAGAGAGATCCATACACTAACACACAAGTTATGTCTGGAAGTTACAAAAATGCTTATTTTTGGCCCCTTTTTGGCCCCAAATTCCTAAACTTTTAGGGCAATTACCCCAAACTCAAACCCAGCTTTCCCTTTGTGATATGGAACCTTGTAGTACAATTTCAGAAAGATCCATACACTTACACACAAGTTATTGTCATGAAACTAGAAAAAATGCTTGTTTTTTGCCCCTTTTTTGGCCCCTTATTCCTAATATTTTGAGGCAATTACCCCCAAAATCAATCCCAGCATTCCCTGTGTGATATGGAACCTTGTGGTACAATGTCAGAGAGATCCATACACTAACACACAAGTTATGTCTGGAAGTTACAAAAATGCTTATTTTTGGCCCCTTTTTGGCCCCTAATTCCTTAACTGTTGGTACCATAACCCCCAAAATCAATCCCAACCTTCCTTTTGTGGTATTGAACCTTATGGTAAAATTTCATAGAGATCCATTCACTTAAACTATAGTTAGAGTGCGAAAACCAATGTGTCTTCGGACTACGCTGGACGACGACGACGACGCCAACGTCATACCAATAAATGACCACAAAAATTTTTGCGGTCGTATAAAAATCCAAACACATGGTTAGATTCGGCATATCAAAGAACCCCAAGAATTCAATTTTTGTTAAAATCAAACTAAGTTTAATTTTGGACCCTTTGGATCTTAATGTAGACCAGTTTAAAACGGGACCCAAAATTAAAAATCTAAATACACGGTTAGATTTGGCATATCAAAGAACCTCAATAATTCAATTTTTGATGAAATCAAACAAAGTTTAATTTTGGACCCTTTTGACATCAATATGAACCAATTTGATAGCGGGGCCCACAAATAAAAAATCTAAATACATGGTTAGATTCAGCATATCAAAGAACCCCATTTATTTAATTTTTGTTGAAATCAAACAAAGTTTAATTTTGGACCCCAATTTGGACCAACTTGAAAACTGGGCCCAAAATCAAAAATCTAAATACATGTTTAGATTCAGCATATCAAAGAACCCCATATATTCAATTTTTGTTAAAATTAAACTAAGTTTAATTTTGGACCTTTTGGACCTTAATGTAGACCAATTTGAAAACTGGACCCAAAATTAAAAATCTAAATACACGGTCAGATTAGGCATAACAAAAATATAAATGTGGTCAAAGATTTTACAAATCTAATGCGCCATACTGTGCAATTAAAGATTTCTTCTTGAAATTTTTCAATATTTGAAATTTGAAAAAAAAATAATATTTGAAGAACAATTCTCTTTAATTTCTGAAATCTGAAATGAGAAAAAATTGCCCCCCCCCCCCCCCCCCCCCCCACAATTTCTTTTTACCCCCCTCCCTTTTTCCCCCAAAAAATTCTTTCGCTCAAGATATGGTCATAATCTCAATTCAAATTTCCAATGGAATTTGCAACCATAATTACCCATTTAAATTTACCATAGTTCTAACTTAATCTATTTTATAATAGAATTTAAAATATGGTGTCAAATCTTTCATATGTATTTTTTTGTAAAAAAAAAAAAGATGCAACATTTGCAGATATTTTTACTGGTCTTCCTTTATAAATATGCATTTCTTTAAACATAATTTAAAAGCAGTGTAAGGGAAGTAATCAAAACGTTGTATTTGGATTACCTCCCTTATACTGTTTTAAATTGTTCATTAACCATTACTTAATACATAATTTAAAAGCAGTGTAAGGGAGGTAATTCAAATGATGTATTTGATTTATCTCCCTTACACTGCTTTAAATTATGTTTTGTACTAAAGTATTTGTCCATTAACCAGGACAACCTTGTTTTTCCCCGTTTTTTGCCCCTAATTCCTAAACGGTTTGAGCCATAACCCCCCAACGCAAATCCTAACCATCCCTTTGTGGTATGGAAACTTGTGGTATAATTTCAGAGAAATCCATACACTGTTCCACAAGTTATTGTCTGGAAACTAGAAAATGCTTATTTTTGGAACATAATTCCTTAACTGTTGGTACCATAACCCCCAAAATCAATCCCAACCTTCCTTTTGTGGTATTTAACCTTATCGTAAAATTTCATAGAGATCCATTCACTTAAACTAAAGTTATAGTGCGAAAACCCATGTGTCTTCGGACGACGACGCCAATATCATAGCAATATACGACCGCAGTATAAAAACCAAAATTTTGCTCAAGGTACCGATCATGCAGAAGCTTTTATTCACGATTTGTAAAATTCCATAAAAAATTTGACAAAGTTTTTCAGTATTATAATCAAACCGTGAACTAGGAAAGTCAAGGAAATAGGACAAAAACCACATGAAACTGTAAACCATAAGATAATCCAGCTCACATACCTCCTAAACTATAAAGCAATACACATGTACAAATAGTTTATGCTGTCACCAGCAACATTCCTCACAGGTGAGACCCAATGTTTTATTTGAAAATTGAATTTTGATAAGTAATCTCCTCCTAACTTATCTTAGGGGAATCTTAAATTCAAAAGCGACTGCTGTGGATATACTTTTTAACCTATTCCGAAAGGTTTATTATGTAGAACAACTATTAAACAGAAAAAGAGAAAATTGTCAACAAGAATGCTAACCCTAAAATGTCTCACCTGCTTTAATGATCATGATAAAATTTATAAGTAAATTAAGTCTTGGAGAAAGTGTTATAAAACAAATTTATTCATAAGCTAAAGGTCAGATGAACTCTGCCACACAGAGTGACATGTACACCTTACAATCATTCCATATACCAAATATAGATAACCTATTGCTTATAATATCTGAGAAACAGTCTTAACCATGAAAACATAATATTGACTAATGAACCATTATAGTAGATAATGCGGTCAAGGTCAGATGAAACCTGCCATACAGATATGTACACTTTACAAGCATGTCATTCACCAAATATAGTTTGCCTGCGTAAAGTATTAGAGATACAGGCCAGACAAAAAAGTATACAGATATGCCAAGGGGGGGGGGGGGGGGGAGGGCGAATATTGCAGACTCGACAAAAATCACACCAAAGGCATCAGCCTGATTATGCACTTGTCTAACTGAACTGAATCTAGCCTTCTGTCAAAATTACCCTTGAAGATACGGAACTTGTCTAGGATTCTGTGACTGTTGATTATTTCTTGTTCTAAGTTGTATTCTGGTGAAAGGAACAGGACCATTACGTCTCATTACAAATGGATGCTCAGTGTCTGTGTCCTCAGAATCTGATTCTGTCCTGTCTTCTGAATTTGTAGACCTCTGTGGACGATCTTGACTTACACCTGAAACTTGTTGTTGGAAGTTTTCAAGGAAGGCTCTGCCCCATATCTAAAAAATGTTGATCATTTTGAAATAATAAAATTAATATTGTAAAAGAAAAGTTTGTCAAAGGGTGAACCCACTAAGTTTATTTCTAAATAACACATTTATGTAACAAATGCTTAAATATACTATATGGCAGGGCGTTCTAAAAAACGACGGAAAAGGGGCATGGCGCCAAATTTTTTTCCTAAAAAGGGCAGGGCATCAAGAAATCACGGCAGGGCGCCATACCACGCCAAAACCTCCTGCAGGAAACACTATTATAAGCTCGCTAAAAATAACAATTCAATCTTTACAACCTTGTCCTAGTTAAACCAAAGACTTAAACACAGATATCTTATCTTTTTTCATGTATTTTTTTAAGTGTAAGAATAAAAAGATAGCAATACAATCAGAATAATGAGGTAAAGTAGATAACACTAAAGTCTTTCCTAATAAAATGCCAGGTTGACAAATATGATGTGTTTCAATGAAAAAAATAATTCATGATAGTCAGTTTTGTAGTGTTTCATAATTAAATGAGGCAAGCAGGGATGGGAATGATTACTTACAAAATCAATTACCGGAAGGATTTTTGTGTATTACTCTGATTTTTGTATGTACTGGTAATCGATATGATTGTTGTCAGACATTCTTTATAAAACATGTATGTAAAATTATATATAAATAGTGACAGTTTATCCAACATCAATCAATCTGTAGGTCACGAAAAATCAAAGAATACATATGAACCTTCTTTTAAGAATTAACTTGCCTCTGCAAAATTTGATGCCGGATCAATTATTTCTTGTGGAGAACTACTATTTGGTGACTCTCTGAAAGATAAATACATTATTTTGTTAATGAATACTCCATAGAATATGGAGATAAAGTTTTACTTCAAGTATTACATAAAGTTTAGTTAACATTATCAACAATCCATGAAAATGTGGTCATGGGTCAGATTAACCAAGTCAGACAGACATGTAACATGTTGTTGGCATGATATGGGTTATTCTTCTCATATAATCTATAATGACACAATACTAAACACTTAGCAAGAGGATTGTGCTTCATTTTCATATGATGAAGACATAATCTTCCGATCAGTTAAAATGAGGTCTAAAACTGGCATGTCAGTAACTGCTAGTAGTCCTTTGTCTGTTAATTTAAGTTGATCATTCATTGTCATTTTACTTAGTTGCTTCTGTTACCTATTCTGATATTGGACTCAGACTTCTTTTAACCTGAGTTTTAATGTCTGTATTGTGTGTGTTTGTTCATTCCACATTGGCTAGAGGTATCTATAGAGGAGTGTTGAGATCTCACAAAATATGTTTAAAAACACATGTTTGCGCCTGTCCAAAGTCAGGAACCTCTGGCCTTTCTTAGTCTTTTGTGTTTTCAATTTCAGTTCATTTATGTGTGTCTGAGTTTAGTGTGGCATCCATTTTCTTTGAACTAGTATACATTATTGTTAAGGGGCCAGGTGAAGCCTACCTCTGGGTGCAGGATTTTCTCACTGCATTGAAAACCCATTGGTGGCCATGGGCTGTTTTCTGCTCTGTGGTTGGGTTGTTGTCTCTTTGACACATTCCCTGTTTCCATTCTCAATTCTATTACAATCATTATATACACCAAATATAGTTGACATATTGCTTATAGTATACAAGAAACACCAATACATGAAAATTTAATATTTTATTAAGAAACAAACTTAACCAGGAAAATTTTACATTGACCAATGAACCATGAAATTGAGGTCAAGGTCAGTTGGACCCTGCCAGACATGTACACCTTATGATCTTTCCGTTCACCAAATATAGTTAACCTGTTGTTTAAACTAGTATTAGAAAAACAGATAAAAACACAAAAACTTAGCATTGTCTTTGATTGACCAATGGACCATGAAAATTATGTCAAATTTACAATATACAAGAATATCCAGGGCTATGATCATTTTTGGAGTGAATCCTGAAAATCATTACATTTTGATAATTGTATTTGTTATTCCCTAAAACCCTTACCAGAAAGCTACAGTTAATATGATATTATAACATGAATTTCCAAAGTATCAGCCAATATATCATAATTTGTGTTGTTTGTAAAGTGTCTGATATATATGTAACCCCATCTTCTTTTTAAAGTACTCTTTTTACAATTTAACTTCAGGACATATTTGAGTTTACGACTAAGGTCAAATTATAAATTGCACTACATACTCTGATTCTGTTATTTCTTCAATGAATCCATTCTCACATTTAGGACATGTATAATCCTACAAAAAAGACAAATATTTAACATGTTGAACATGTAAAATCCTACAAAAAAGACAAATACTTAACATTTAGGACATGTATAATACTACAAAAAAGACAAAATATAGATTGCTACACTGTAAATCAATGTCCTCTGCTGCTTTTTAACTGTCATCATAGACAGCTCAATGAAACATTTACATATTTTATTTCAACATAGAATATGGTATATTCACTATCAGAATATGAACCACTGTACTTATAAAACTAACGGTCACATCAAAATCATTTACAAGGTGCTTGCAAGAAATAACAGTCAAATTCAACAAAAATATCTCCTTTACGCCTGCAAAAAGCATCAAATCAAAATGACAATATTGTTGTTGTATGCCATAATGGTCAACTCATCATTATGACTAGCCATTCCAGTGAATATGAAACCAGTTTGATAGCTATAATTAACACAAAAAGTTTCAGATTTTCATTATCATTATGCTTCAATGGGTAAACTAGATGTGTCGGGCAACACGAATGTCCCTCTTGCAAAAAAAGCTTGAAGCCATTTTTAGGAGTGAAAGTCCAAAGCCCGTTATTTTGGCAAAAATCAGTGGAGCAGAACCAAATGGAAACTCCATCTGAAACTCATCATAGTAGACCCACATACTAATAAAATGCTCCGCAGGGCGCAGCTTGATACGACCGCAGAGGTCGAACCCTGAACAGTTGGGGCAAGTATGGACACAACATTCAAGCTTGATACAGATCTGAATTTGGATTGTGATTAAATATTTGACACAGCATAGGTTTCTGACACAGAATGAATGTGGTCTAAGAACTTAAAAATTTTAAATTGGACATTCACCTATTATGGTCCAATATCCAAAATCTAAATACATGGTTAGATTCAGCATATCGAAGAACCCCAAGAATTCAATTTTTGATGAAATCAAACAAAGTTTAATTTTGGACCCTTTTGACCTCAATGTGGACAAAGTTGATAACGGGGCCCAAAAATCTAAATACATGGTTAGATTCAGCATATCAAAGAACCCCACATATTCAATTTTTGTTGAAATCAAACAAAGTTTAATTTTGGACCCCGATTTAGACCAACTTGAAAACTGGGTCCATAATCAAAAATCTAAATACATGTTTAGATTCAGCATATCAAAGAACACTATATATTCAATTTTTGTTAAAATCAAACTAAGTTTAATTTTGGACCCTTTGGACCTTAATGTAGACCAATTTGAAAACGGAACCAAAAATTAAGAATCTAAATACATGGTTAGATTCAGCATATCAAAGAACCCCATATATTCAATTTTTGTTGAAATCAAACAAAGTTTAATTTTGGACCCCGATTTGGACCAACTTGAAAACTGGGCCCATAATCAAAAATCTAAATACATGTTTAGATTCAGCATATCAAAGAACACTAAAAATTCAATTTTTGTTAAAATCAAACAAATTTAAATTTTGGACCCTTTGGACCTCAATGTGGACCAATTTAAAAACGGGGCCAAAAATCCAAAAACTTAATACACGGTTATATTCAGCATATTAAAGAACCCCAAGAATTCAAGAATAAAACCCCATTGAAATTGATCAAGAAATAAGCAATTTATAAGAAGTATCTTCTTTTGCACAATACTGTGCAATTGAATATTTCTTGCTATTGCGCAATACTGTACAATTGACAATTTCTTGCTATTGCGCAATATTGTGCTATTGGATATTTCTTGCTATTGCGCAATACTGTGCAATTGAAGATTTCTTGCTATTGCGCAATACTGTGCAATTGAAGATTTCTTGCTATTGTGCAATACTGTGCAATTGAAAATTTCTTGCTATTGCACAATACTTATTATATAAAAATTTACACATCCTGTTTGGTGTGTATCTCCTACCATATCATTATTATTTGCTTTTAAATATAAATCAGAAATAACCAACTTAAAATGGAAAATTTTAAAAGAAAAAAAAAGGAAAAAAAGAAAGAAAAAAAATCCCCCCCCAAAATTTTTTTGAACCCCCTTATGATTCATCACCCCCAAACTCAATCCCAGCCTTCCCTTTGTGGTATGGTACCTTGCAGTACAATTTCAGAGAGATCCATACACTTGAACACAAGTTATTGTCTTGAAACTAGAAAAATGCTTATTTTTGGCCCCTTTTAGGCCCCCAATTCCTAAACGTTTCAGGCAATTACCCCCGAACTCAATTCCAGCTTTCCCTTTGTGATATGAAACCTTGTAGTACAATTTCAGAAATATCCAAACACTTACACACAAGTTATTGTCATGAAACTAGAAAAATGCTTGTTTTTTGCCCCTTTTTTGGCCCCTAATTCCTAAAATTTTGAGGCAATTACCCCCAAAATCAATTCCAGCATTCCCTTTGTGATATGGAACCATGTGGTACAATGTCAGAGAGATCCATACACTTACACACAAGTTATTGTCTGAAAGTTACAAAAATGCTTATTTTTGGCCCCTAATTCCTTAACTGTTGGTACCATAACCCCCAAAATCAATCCCAACCTTCCTTTCGTGGAATTGAACCTTATAGTAAAATTTCATGGAGATCCATTCACTTAAACTAAAGTTAGAGTGTGAAAACCAATGTGTCTTCGGACGACGCCAGACGACGACGACGACACCAACGTCATACCAATATACGACCAAAAAATTTTTAATTTTTGCGGTCGTATAAAAATTAGCTCAATATGTGAAGGCGTTAAGAAAAGAGTCATTATAACTGTTATTTTCACGAAATTTTCATAACCCAAAGCCTTTAATTATAACAATAAACTGTTAACACTGAGATATGTCTCCCCTTTTTGTTATTTTGATAAGGCAAATGTTGAAATTAAAAGAGCAATACTTTTACATGTAAGTTATGCAAATATTCAAAGTCACTGAAATATGACTGAAGGTACAAGGCTAAACAATCTCCATGGAAATGAGATGTGCCAATGCTAATACAACTGCATACCAAACAACATTGACTTATCATATGTCGTTCCCTTTAAACAAACCTAAACACAAACATTTGTAAAAGTTTCAAAGTCAATGAACCATGATAAGGGGGGGGGGGCTATATAATCTCCATGGTAATGAGACTCGCAAATGCCATTACATTTGCATACCAAATATCACTGACTTATCATTAGTGGTTCATCTTAAACTGATCTAATCACAAATTTAAACTAATACATGTAAACTAAGCAAAAGTTCAAAGTCAATAGACCATGATTGAGGGGTAAGGACCCAATATTCTCCATGGAAATGAGATATGCCAATGCTTATACAATGCAACTCAGACTGCATACCAATTATCATTGACCTACCACTACATGTACTAATGGTTCCCCTTGAACTGACCTATCACTAACTAATACATATAAAACTAAGCAAAAGTTTCAAAGTCAATAGACCATGACTGAGGGGTAAGGACCTAATATTCTCCATGGAAATGAGATGTGCTAATGCTTATACAATGCAACTCAGACTGCATACCAATTATCATTGACCTACCACTAATGGTTCCCCTTGAACTGACCTAATCACAAATTAATACATATAAAACTAAGCAAAAGTTTCAAAGTCAACAGACCATGACTGAGGGGGTGGGTCAAAATAATCTCCATGGAAATAAGATATGCCAATGCTTATACAACTGCATATCAAATATCATTGACCTACCACTAGTGGTTCCCCATAAAATGACCTAATCATAAACTAATACATGTCATGTAAACTTAGCAAAAGTTTCAAAGTCAATAGACCAAGACTGAGGGGGTGGGGCCAAATAATCTCCATGGAAATGAGATAGGCCAATGCTTATACAACTGCATACCAAATATCATTGACCTTACACTAGTGGTTCACCATAAACTAGACCTAATCACAAACTAATACATTGTTGCTGCTGCCGGAAAGAGCATAACAATGTCTCGCTTTTTGACTCTGTCAAGGCGAGACAAAAATCAACTAAAAATCAGCTTAGTATGTGAAGGTGTTTAGAAAAAAAGTCTGTTTTACTGTTCATTGTGGAATGATGGATAAGTGTAACACTATATGGCCCCTACCTAAGTCAGTGGGGCCATAAAAAATGGGCAAGGTCCCATAACTCCAACAAACATTGTCTAATCACTATATATACAACATGTACAATGTAGGTATGAATGAAAACTTTTGAACATACATTCTAAGAAATTTAGCTGTCATAAGTTGTCAATATGATACAACAGGTAAAAATGGTTGAAGTCTGATAAGTTATGAAAATATTGTCATAACAACCATGACAACATGGCACTAAAGTATGATCAACTACGAACATACGGTACATATAATGAATAAAAAAACCAACAAAGTATTACATTCTTCTGGTAAATGGTCTCATAAAAGTACCAGTAGTATAAATTTACAAGGTGGCATTATGCTACAATAGGCCAAATTAGTCTTTTTATAACTCCTAATCAATGCTTATAGAGTATGGTCAACTTCACATAATGAAAACCAATACAACCAAGTATGAAAGCGTTCAGACAAAGTGTCTCGATATGGTAATGTTCACAAAGTGATGTACATGTATTATTATTATCAGCCAGAGAAAGACCAGATTATACAATATCATTAAAAGTGCAGCAAATGAGTGTACATTTTTTTGCTATTTTCAATTTCCAACCTGAGAACACTACATGTACATGCAGGCAAACTCTCAGAGAGTAATGATATTAAACTGACTAGTAAGATTCTAGTAAACTCACTCCTGGTTGTCATGGTTATTCTGTCTTGAACTTTAATACCAGATGTTTATTTGATATACATTGTACAATTTTATTTGAACATTGCAATTGTTTGAGTGAAAGAAGTTTGAGGTTGGGTATCTATGTACAGTGTTCACAATAAGTTTTTGAATAAGAGGAAGAAAATTAAAAGTAGCAGGCAAACATGAGGGCCACAAGGCCCGAATCGAGCGTCTTAGATGTGAGAGGGGGTGGGTTCGAGAGGGG